TAATGCACACCCGAGTTCTTGTCAAAAAGTGCCGTACTTTCCATACTGGACCTGTACCGCCCATGTGGACTTACTATCCACACTGTAATTATCAATACCTCCATTTTCATTTCTGATATTGTTCTTTACCTGCGCAGATTATTGCAAATACTAGTGTGCATAGTTTTCCCTTTCTTTATGTCTGTGACATTAGATTTTCCCTATCTTGGTAAATATGTACAAATACATCAAGAAGGTTCAAGAAGCAGACTATAAGACGAGCGATATCCTGAATAATTGTATTAAATGTAGCTGCTCATTATCAAGAAAATTTCATCAACTGCATAATTTCATATATCCGGTATAATCTGGATATATTTTAGGAAACATTTGCTGTGGCTTTAATATTTCATCACCTGCATAAATCCATATATTCTGTATATTCTGAGTAAGTGTTAGACAACATTTGCTGTGGCTTTAAAACTTAATATGCATCTACAAGGCATCCAGTGCTACTCTTTTATCATTATTTCCAAAGAAAACTACCAATGCTGGTAAAATCACATATTAAAGATATCAACACGCGATCCCTAGTGTGGTGGTCTGAGTGCCAAGTTCCACGTGACAGCTGTCAAGAAAAATCTCAATACTTCTCCCACCTCCAACTATATAGCTATTACTAATAGATAACAACAAAACCCTTTTTACATACTTGGCTGAGAGCGGTAAAATTCCACCTCCCTGTGAGCTGCACGAGTCGCACCACTCCGTTGCCCCGTTGAAAATACAAACAAAAATAATAGTTGGCAACGTAGGGCTGGCACTTTCATAATACACGTGCTTTTTTGTTGATTGAAAAAAAAATAAAAGAAAGTCAAAGGAATTCCTATCATTTTACATATTGGATGAGCATGAAAAAAAACATTATACGTGGCACTTGACAATGATAAAAGGTGAAGATAAATGTTTCCTCTGACATGTTTGACTATTGCATTTAAAACCAAGTGAGAATGAGAAATTGACAAAATATTTAGTATGATATATGGTACATTTCCCTCTGTCCTCACTATTCATCACCCAAATTAAGACAAAAAAGTACATGCGTGTGAACTACTGAAACTAATATCTTTTGGTTATTATCTTGTGTATTTTTTCAACATCATTATATAATAAAGTATGCAAGCAGAGTACGTTTTCAGAATATCAGATACACATTGAATGTTGAAAAAACATGAGATATGAATTTAAGAAAATCCTCAGAACGAATCACAATTCCAGTGAATATTGTCTTTAGGTTTCTATAATCCTCTTCTTCAACACTTTCCCTCTCAGAAACGAATTGATGAAAGTGTTAGTTTAAGAAGAATTGACGTCTCCATGAACACTGACATTATTTAAAAACAATATTTTTGCCATTAAACAGTCACTTAGTAATTTTATCCTGTATTTTTTTTCTTTTTTCAATAGGCAAGATTTTCTTGGGTTATATTACTAAGCTGAATGTGAATTT